GGGGAGCTGCCAGGTCAGCTGTCATCCATTTAGGGTGAGCGCTGGGGAGAGGTCACGGGGCAGAAGGCGAGGCAGGGAGACAGCTCGAAGGCAAAGTGATGTGGGACATTTAGGACCGAGAACCTGCAGGCTGGTGAGCAGGTGGGGATGGGATCTGAGACCGAGGTGGATGAGACAGAAAGGGGAGTGGGCGGGGCCTGTGGGTGTCCAGGAGGGGTGGGAGCGAGGTCGGAGAGCAGGTGCAAGGTGGGAGCAGATGGAGGACTGGGCTTGGGGGAGGGGCCGGGTCTAGAGCAGGTGGGCTGGGGGAGGGGTCTGGGGTAGAGCAGGTGGGCTGGGGGAGGGGTCTGGACTAGAACAGGTGGGCTGGGGGAGGGGTCTGGAGTAGAGCAGGTGGGCTGGGGGAGGGGTCTGGGGTAGAACAGGTGGGCTGGGGGAGGGGTCTGGAGTAGAGCAGGTGGGCTGGGGGAGGGGTCTGGGGTAGAGCAGGTGGGCTGGGGGAGGGGTCTGGAGTAGAGCAGGTGGGCTGGGGGAGGGGTCTGGAGTAGAGCAGGTGGGCGGGGGAGGGGTCTGGACTGAAGAAGAGCTGGTGTGTAGAACCGACTTGTGACCTCACAGATTCTGCCTGTGGTGCCGTGTGTGGACGTGGTGCTGGTGCTCAGGGGGAGGAGGTGCGATGCTTCCGGTTTGGCAGGTGAAGACACGAGAGTGGGTGTGCAGGGCTTGCCCTGCCGCACAGAGTAGGCCAGGTCAGCCCAGAGCTGGGCTCCAGGGTCCCAGCGCCCGCAGAGGCTGCTCAGGCCCAGGCAGGGCCCTCAGTGGCTGGTCAGGAGGCCCCGCCCCTACTGGGCCCGCTCCCCCAGGTGCCCCTTGTCCTGGCAGCCTGGCAGCCTGGTGATGGGTTGTCAGCTGGGAGCACAAGCCTGGAGCCCACTTTGGCTGCTGACTCCTTGGTGGATCCGGGCTGCTGTCCCCATGGCAACCCGTGTCTTGCTAGCTCTGGGTAAAGCCATCCCCTGGGGACTTTGGGCATCAGAGCTGAGACTGTAGAACTGGGCTCCTAGGCTGCAGCTGTAAACAGGCAGTGCCACCCAGTGGGTGGCGTTTGTGAGGAGCCTCGTCTGGGGCAGTGCTCGAGCCTCGTCCCCCATGGACACTGCCCCCTGGAGGAGCAGTGAAGCCTGTTGTCCAGGAGCCTTGCTGCCTGGCCCCTCTCCGCAGAGCTGGTAGCTGAGCTGCAGCCGTGCTGAGGAGCGGGCGGCAGGTTCTAGCTGGTGTTGACAGCAGTACAATGAGGTCATTGGGTGAAGAGGTGCCACAACCAGAAGCCATACGGGCAGAGAAGGGACAGAGGGGAGGCATGTGGCGAGTTTCCTCTTTGGCCGGTGTCTGTGAGCGTGGGGGCAGGGGGGTCCCCTGGAGGGCTTGGCAGCATCAGCCAAAGGGGGGGACACCCTCCGTGTCTCCCCCACCCCCCCCCTCGCCCCCCGCAGCGTGGGGATTTGGAGACTGGGGCTTCCGTTTGTATTTCTGAGTTTCTTAGGCCCCACTACAAGCATGTCAGACTCAAAGGCTAAACAGGCAAGTAAGGTTGAAGTTTATGTGGGCCGCAAAAAACAAAAGCTTCCGTTTTCATAGAAATTAGGTTTGTTAGAAAAGTATGGTGTCAAAAGAGACAGGAGCGGTGATGAGGTGCATGTTCTCTTCCTGACACGCGGCATCTCCGCTGCTGTCGCCCCCGCTCCGGGGAACCTCGTTCGCAGTGACTCCTTTCCAGACCCACCCACGGCGATGTCAGTGACTCTGGATCGGACAGGAGACTTATTTCCTTTCATGATTGTAATAACTGCTCACACCATTATATGACTGGGCTACAAAAATATTCGTGGTGGGCCACGAGTTTGACATGCTGCCCCGGTGGTTACCGCATTGGGAAGGTGTTAGGACCCTGCGAGGTCAGGAGGTCAGGAGGCCCCTGCCCAGCACCCCTGACCCTGAGGAGCCCTGGGGAGCCCTGCAGGCAGAGGTGCGGGTGTCAGAGGCCCCTGTCCCCGGAGTGCATGGCCGGGGAGCTGGGCCTGGAGGAGCCCGTGGCTCCAAATCGGGTGATGTGGGCGCCCCCACCCACGGCTGATGCCGCTTCTGGGAGCAGCCCCTTTTCCCCGGTGACATCTTACAGGCCTGGGTCCTGGGCGGTGGGCCCGGGCTGGCCTCCTTTGGGAGCTGAACCAGTTATAACGTGTGGCTGAGAGGGCCCTGTTCTGACAATTCCGGACACAGGCTGAGGTGCCAGTGCATTGATGGAAGGACCTTTAAAGGACTTCAACTCAGAGCCTCAGATGTCCAACCGCCCTCCTCCCGGGCCAGCGCCTGAAGAGAGCCGGGCTGCCCGATGGCCAGCTTCCCGCTGTCAGCTGGGCCCGGCCGGGCTGGTGCTGGGTGCGAGCTGGGCCTGGGCTCTCAATGCTGCTGCTGTGAATTCCTGCTGAGCCTGAAACAGACCAGCTACCCATTGTCTGTCTCCCGCCCCCGCTCAGGGCCAGCCTCCCTTCCACAAGCTCCTGCATATTTGTCATTTTCTCTCCCGTCACTGACTGGGCTCAGTGGAAGGGGCAAAGCTGGCACTGGGCGTGGGCTGAGATGGCCACTGCGTGCCCTGCCCTAGTTCAGAGCTGTGCCCTCAGCAGTGTCCGGCCTGCTCTCCAGAGCAGGTGAGCCTGGGACGGGGAGTGTCTGGCAAGCAGCGGAGGGGGCAGGGAGGCAGGGGACAGGTGTCGGGGGCAGGGCTACTCGGGCATTCTGGGTTCCATGCTGAATTTTCTCCAAGGGGCGAGGGCTGCTTTGATGTTGTTTGGTTCCATTTTCTTTGGTCACAACATGTAATTATTTTGTGTTGCTCTTTTCAGTTTGCTAGGGTGTTTTTTTTTAGTATTTTTGCATAGCACAGGTAAGATGACTATCTATGGCCATATGAGATCCTGCCTGCGGTTCTCTTTTCCTTTTGCTGTCTTTGTCTGGCTCTGGCTCTTTGTCCTGGTGGGAAGGGACGAACAGAGCTCTGAGCCTGGCCCAGACAGTGTTGGCAGAAGGGCCGAGGCGGTGGGAGGCAGTGGACGCGCCTCACCAGTAAAGGGGCCAGGAAGCCCCGCTGACCGCCTGGAGCAGTGGCCGGGCCTGCCGGCTCCTTTGCAGTGTCTTCCTGTTCTGAGCCCCATGATTCCGCAGTGGGGCACCCGTGGGAGACACCACGTGCTGCCTGTGTGATCATCTCTGATCTCCCTCCTGGCTCTAAAGCTCGGACGGCTGGACTCATGGGAACTTTGAGCGGCTCACCCTCCCGTTAGGTAATGGGCCCAATCCCTCCGAGAAAAGGGGAGGGAAAGGTGTCCCTCGCCCAGGGGCCTGCTGGGCGCAGGGTCAGGCCTGCTGAGGGTGGTAAAAGGAGAGGCTGGCACACACACTGGGCAGCTGTAGTGTCAGGGGCCCTGGGCCTGGGCCTGGGCTCCTCCAGGGAGCTGTGGCCATTCCGTCTGCCGACTCTCTGACCCTCCGGGGTAGCCGGGGCTGTTTCTGTCCTGCAGCTCAGGCCCCTGTGAGGAAGCCCTGAGGCTGGCCAGGGCAGCGGGTCTGCCCCTGTGCGTGGAGCCAGGCTTCATGTGCCGACAGCGCCCTCCGTGGTCTCCGCCAGCCCACTGATGAGTGGGTGGGGAGGCGGCATGGGGAAAGCTGGCGTCTGTTAGCTAACCCGCTCAGCTGCCGTGAGGGTGTGACGTAATCCTGGCCTCGGGGGTTGCTAGGGAAATTCTGCCTGCAGTGGCACTGCGTGGTCCTGGGACTGATCGAGAACAGAATGTCCCCGAGAAGCGGGAGGAATGCAGGGCTTCCCAGCAAAGGAGCCCCGATCTGAGCTCCTCTCCAGGGGAGCTGTCAGAGCCCCGTCAAGGCGGGGTGGCTACAGCACCTGTCCCTGTGCCCAGTGAACGCTTTTCTGCACCGATGGACCTTGTGGGCGGCCCTCCTTCTGCAGCGCCCGGGGCAGGTGCCCCTCCCTTGTCCACGAGGCAGACGGGTAGGAAGGAGCTCGGCAGGCGGCTGCCAGGGTGAAGGAGAGGGTGCCCTGTGGGGGGGGGGGCGGCCAGCACCAGGCCTGGGGGCGGAAGCCGTTCCCTGGCCAGTTCCGCTGTGCGCCTCCCACCCCCGCTCCCCGTCAGTGGCCTTTCTGTCTGCTGCTCCAGTCCTCCCGGGAGCGCTCCTCCAGAGGGAATACGTCAGAAAGGCCATGGCGGCCAACCCAGAGCCGTCCTTCAGAGAGGGGGGGAGCAGGACCCAGGGAGGCCGGGGCCAGAGGCGCCAGGCGACCTGGGTCCGCAGGGTCTGCAGCTAAGCCAGCTCCTCCCTCCAGAGGCTCTGGGCGGGGAGGTAGGTCAGGACTGCAAGCGCTTTCCCTCCCTCCCCTGCCTTTTCTGGCCGCATGTCAGAGCCTGTCTTATGGAAAACAAGACAAAGGAAGTGATTTCATGAGTGCCTGGACCAGATCCTCCAATCCATGATCAAAAACAGAGCAATAGGATGATGGCCATTATCTGTCGCCTGTGAGCCAGGCCGCCTGCTCCTTGGAACAGGTGTTGGTTGGGCAGAGGCCTGGCTCCAAAGGGGGCCAGACGGGTCTCAGGAGGAAAAAGGGCGGTTCCGAGGGCCTGAACTGGTGCGGAGCGAGGGGCGTGAGCAGAGCCTTCTCCAGCAGCAGCCCTGGGTTCTCACTCACCTCCTCGCTGTGCAGCCTTCCGCAAGCCTGAGCCTCACCCCATCCGCCCTCAGCCCGCAGCCCCCAGCCCGCAGCCGGCCAGGCTGCAGGGGAGCCTGCGGAGGTGGGCTTCCGGGAAGTGCTTTGTGCTCAGAAGCACTCCCTCAGGTGGACTGATGCCGCCCCCGAGGGCCCAGCCTCCTGCCTGTCCCGGTGCCAGAGGCCCCTCCAGCAAGCCCCTTCCGCTCGCCTGCAGGTGCAGAGGACGTGGTGATGGCGTTTTCCAGGTCGGAGACAGAGGACCGGAGGCAGTAGCTGCGGATCCCAGGGAATGTCCTGAAAGCTGGCATCGCCCAAGAGATCTGTGTGACCTCGTCTGGCTGAGTGGCAGCGGGTCCCCTTCCCCATCCCCCTCTACACCCCTACCCCCTCCCCCACCTCACCCCCCATTCACCCCCCACCCCCCCACCTACCTCACCCCCCAACCTCACCTCACCCCCCCAACTCACCCCCTCACTCACCCCTCCCCACCCACCTCATCCCCCCACCTACCTCTCTATTCCCTCCCCCACCTCACCCCCCACCCCACCCCACTCCTACCCCACCCCGCCTCACCTCACCCCACCCCGCCCCCCCACCCCTCCCCACCCCATGGCCACTCAGCAGGGCTGGCATCGAGGGAAACGCCGCTGGTGCAGTTATGATTGGCTTCAAGAGACGGACTCATGATTGGCTTCAGGAAGAAACCTTTTTATTTTTAAATCTTGACCAACGGAAACCTTTTATTTTTATTTCTGACTCTTATTTTTTAAATTTGCGCCTCGGGTACATGGCTTCCCGGGAAGCTGTCCGAGCTCTGGTGCTTTCTTTATTTAGGTCACTTTTTAGGAACGAGAAGAGGTCCGATTGGCTGCTCAGACTGGAAAAGGATTTTGATTGGCTGGCTAACGGGAAACGATTTTTTTTCTTGAATGGCTGCAGGTGTTCTGCTGAAAGCAACAGCTTCTCTCTTGAATGCTGAATACAGGGTTTGGGACGTTGGTTGTTATATTTGACTTGAAAAAAAAAGAAAGAAACCAAATGCGCTTTGCAATATTTATTACACAGCTGGCTGCTCTCACGTGTTTTGTTTGTGTTTGCATTCGATCGTGTGTTTCCCATTGGCTCCCCCATGACTCCCGCTGCTCTGCCCCCATCCCCCACCCCCTCTGCAGCCCGGGGCACCTGGACCTGACTCCACCAGTGACCACACCTGACTCCACCAGTAAGGGGGCCTCAGGGACCCCAAGCAGCATCCGAAGCTGGAGAGTGGGGCCCCCAAGGAGGTTTGTGTCCTGGGGGAGCAGCAGGAGCCGAGTGGTGACTGGCCATGAGCTGGGATTTACGTCCATCACTTCGGGCTGGCAGCCGACCAGCTTCCCGGACAGGAATGGAAGCTCGCTTTGCTGGCCCCGCCTGACCGAGCTGAGCAGAGGCGTCCCAGACAGCTCTGTCGCATCCATTCTCCGGGTCTGCTTTCTGAGGCCTCATCTGGGGTCCTCCTGGAAAGGGCAGGAGCTGCTCCCCCCACTGTGAGACCCACAGGGTCTGCCCAGGAGCCCGGAACCCACCCACAGACCCAGCATGACTCAAGCCTGCGAGTCCTTTGCCTCCAGTCACCCGCCCTGACCGCCCCCAGCCTGGCTCCCACGGTGTCTGCTGCTGGGACCTACCCTCCCGGCCAGCACTCCCACACCTGTGCCTCTCTGCACACCTCCTTCCCAAAAGTGCCCCCGTCAGCCTGGAAGGGCAGCGCCTTTTATTTTTTTTTACTTATTTTAAAAATAAATTTTATTGATTTTTTACAGAGAGGAAGAGAGAGGAATAGAGACTTAGAAACATCGATGAGAAAGAAACATCGATCAGCTGCCTCCTGCACACCCCGCACTGGGGATGTGCCCACAACAAGGTACATGCCCTTGACCGGAATCAAACCTGGGACCTTTCAGTCTGCAGGCCGACACTCTATCTACTGACCCAAACTGGTTTCTGCGGCAAATGAGCAAGGCCCACAGGCTGGTCCTCAGCCCCGGCCCAGAGCACATTGCAGAGCCCGGTCTCTGAATGGCTGTGGGCACCCAAGTCCTCCCTCCTGCCCTCCCCCCTCTGCTCACAGGATGCCCCTGGGGAGGTGGTGGGAGATGCAGTCAGGAGGGGAACTCGCCCCCTTGCCCTAAGGTAGATGCCCGTCCTTGCCCTGGGGGGAGCCAGAGGACATTCAGCCACATTCCCCTTAGGGCTTGGGGCTGCCATGGAGCACAGGGTTAGTGAGTCCTGGGCCTGAGCCTGGGAGAGCCCTACCGTGCAGGGGTGGGGAGTGTATCCGGGAAGGGGAGAGGGTCTCACTGCTGATCTTGCCCCAGGAGCAAGACTTGAGTGTCATGGCCTAAACACTGTGTCCTCCTCCACGCACGGGCTCCTGGCCCTGGTTAGCGGACCATTAACTGCAAAGGCCATTGATTCCAGGGACAAGGACTGTGGGGACCCCACCAGGGGCCTCAGAGCATCTCCCCCCCGGGGGAGGGACACAAGCACATGAGCACACACAAGCACACACACTCTCTGCCAGGGGTCTGCAGCTCCAGCGGGGCCCTGGGGAAGGTGAGTCTCCAGCCCCGTCATCAGGTGCAGGTGCCCGTGTGGCTGGCCGCCCGCTCTTTGAACCTGCAGCTCCCAGGCAGGGCCCATGTCCTGACCCATGATGTGTTCTCCGCCCCAGCCTGTCCGTGCCAAGGTCATGGGCCTCCCTCTTGTAACAGTGATGGCCCTGATCTGTTACCTTCTGAAGAAGAAAAGGGAAAGTGTTGCCGTGGCTCCTTATTTCAACTAAAAACATACCTGTCGGAGGAAAAAAATGAGCAACAAAGAAGTTTAATACCCTGGTGTGTGAGCCGAGCTATCCCCCCTTGGAGTGGGTGCTTTTGCTGCCTTCCACGCCTCACGTGGACTGTGCCGCTGGAAATACGGGTTCTCTAGTTGTGTAGTCTGTGGCCTGGAGTGGGGTTCGGGCTTTGGAAGAGGTTCCAGGTCTACCCCGCCCGGCTGACAGGGCTGTGGGAAGGCTGAGGCCCTCTTTCCACCTGGAGATTCTAAATACCGTCCTGGATTAAAGCAAGGCCAGTCAGCTTCAGCGGTGGCCGCACCGTCCGAGCTCCCGCGCAGACTCTGAGCATCCCCTGCGGGTGGAACCTGCCATTCCAGACACTCCTGTGTGAGGCCGAGGTTCTCCGAATCTGTGACCAAAGCCCAAGCAGCGCACCCGCCCCTCGCGTCCTCCCAGGGACGGAAGGTCCGCTGAGCTCGGGTGTGATGCGGGTTTGGAAGCTCACATCACTTCTGCTTTAGGAGTTTTTGCTTCGGCAGCATGTTCTAGGATTTTTTATTTCTACTTTTTTTTTCTCTCTCTCTAATTACATAGACTTTCTATTCTCTTTTCAAAGAGTGTCACCGGGTGCTCCATGCCCTGGGGTTTATGGGAAATGGTGGCAGGTGCACAACGCCATCAGTGAACCTTAGCGCTGAGGAGGACGGGGTTGTTCGCAGCCTGTCTGAAAGGGCCTGCCCACTTCCGCTTGAATATCCACCCGGGGAACTCACTCCCTCACAGGGCGATGCATTCCGTCTGCAGGCGTCCATCCTTAAGTTTCTCTGGAACTTCCTTTTTTAGGAAGAAGCTTAGTGATGGAAAGGAAGACAGCTATGTTAGCCAGAAATGACATAGACTCTATATGTCATAGAGCCACGTGGCAAGGGCTCTCATGAGGTGGAAACTCCCCCGCCTCCACACCAGTGTTCTCTTTGTAAAATAGGTTTATTGGTTTCATAGAGAAAGGGAGAGGAATGGAGGGATAGAAGCATCAATGATAGAGAAACATCATCGATCAGCTGCCTCCTGCACGCCCCCTTCTGGGGATCGAGCCCGCAACCTGGGCATGTGCCTTGGCAGGAATTGAACCCGGGACCCTTCAGTTCACAGGGTGATGCTCCATCCACTGAGCCACACTGGCCAGAGCCACCCCAGTGTTGTGAGCGGCACTGTTGGTAGCTAACCTTGGAGTTAATGGCTCTCCTAATGTGGGCCGTTGAGCAGAGGAGGTGGGGCTGGCTGGCCCTGTCCCACTTGCCCAGCTCCCCTGGGACTGGCCTGAGGGATGAGACCTTTGAGCTGTCAAACTCCCTGGCCTCAGGGGAATCAGACAACTCTGGCCGCTTCAGCAGGCCAATGGAAGCACGGGGTGGGGGAGGAGAGGGGGAGGGGGGGGTAGTGATGTGTCTTCCTGGGCCCCTCAGCCTATGCAGCTGGCACCCTGGGTCCACCTTCCTGGGTGTAGGTGCATGGCCAGTGATGATGCCCTGCAGGATGGGGACTGCCGAGGCCCAAGGCCGCGGGGGGCCAGGCTGAGAACGGAGGCAGGGCACCTGCCTTTTGCCCGTGTTCCCCAACCCCAGGGCGGAGGGAGGTGGAGGAAGAATGAAGTACTTCATCTCCCCGTTCCCACAGGTGAATAGCCGCTGTGAGAATCGGGCTGAACAGCGAGGGCCCTTTGTGGCAGCGAAAATGATCCCTCCGGCCCCTGGCTCCGGGGTGGGGGCTGAAGCCAGCTTCCGAGCCCAGCAGGAGCTCCGTGGGCCCAGGGGACCCGCCACCACCCACCTGTCCTGGCCTCCTGGCCGGTCCTCCCTCCTCCTCCCCGAGCCCTCTCGCTGTGGCTCATGCCACCCACCCTCCTCCTCTCCCGGGGGATGAAGTGGGCCAGACTGGCCCTGAGGCCTCTGTCCGAGGAAGGAGCGTTCTCTTTGGGGAGACAGCTGGGTGCTTAGGAAATGTGAGGGGGGGGGAGGGGCATGACTGCGGCCCTCATTTAAAAAAAGGCCTCCTCACCCACACCCTCACCCACACCCTCACCCACACTCACCCACACTCTCACCCACACCCTCACCCACACCCTCACCCACACCCTCACCCACTCCCACCCACACTCACCCACACCCTCACGGGAGGTTCAGGGATGGTTTCAGCCTACGGGCAGGGAGGCCAGGAGAGCGGACTGCTGCTGGGAGCCGAGCCCCACCCACAGGCCTCTCACCGAGGCCCAGGGAAGCCCAGAGGGTGCCCAGGTGGCCCTGTTTGCACACCTGTGGGAGCCCCCACCCCCTGCACAGCCCCAGGGGTGACTTCAGACTCAGCCTCTGAGAGTCCTGCCTCCTGGCCCTTGGCCTTGGCCCTGGCAGGAGGTGGGCTTTCACCAACATCATTTATTTATTTATTCCCTGGA